CCCCAGGATCCCATTGGCCTTCTTGGCAGCCAGGGCACAAGGGCCCTGCGGATGCAGGGGTAGACTGGGTTTCATTTTACAAAGCAAGCTGAGCTTCGCCACTGCCACCTTGAAGCCTTTTGATAGCTGGTAACACGACAGAATATAGGCCTGTATGCGAGGCGTCTTCGGTGTCTTGGTCTTTCTACGATTTTTCCAGGAATCCTTTTTTTTAGTGGATGTCTGTTTGGATTTCTCTTTCTGAGGTGGTCAAAATGGTAAACTCATTCCGTAAAAGACCAGACCAGGTGCCAGCATACATCTGTGGAACAAAATCGCAGCCCTCCTGTAGGCAGGGGAAAAAATGACTGCTGGCTTGGGTTTCGCTCCTGAGATGTTCAATAAAATGATTGGAGTGGCTGCCAGCAGCTCTGGCTTATGCTGCTTAGCTGAAACGTGGGTCGGTGCGGATGGGCACAGCGGAGACACATCCCCATGCAGTCACCGGTGGCTGAAGCGGGGTTGCCCATCCCTGTCCTGGGAGCAAGCCTCGCTGCGTTTTGTCTCCAGCCGGGGCCAAACGGCAGTCGTACTCCCAGAGGGAAAACCAGACCTGGTGCTGAACTTCACCTTGCCTTGCCATCGTCCCCCAAAATTCGTTCTGAAAATGTCACCAAGAGCTGCTGTCCCTCGCCGTGCGCAGGTGCCGCGGCCGCCGGTGTAAAAGCCGTGCTCCCTCTGCTTGCAGGTATTCGCCCTCAGATCATGAACGGCCCCATGCACCCCCGGCCCCTGGTGGCACTGCTGGACGGCAGGGACTGCACGGTGGAGATGCCCATCTTGAAGGACTTGGCGACGGTTGCATTCTGTGACGCACAATCAACTCAGGAGATTCACGAGAAGGTAACGTCAGCTGCGAGGGCGCGGGCGGGCCGGGATGGGGGGCTCTCTCCTACTGGGACAGGCTGGGAGAGCTGGGGCTGGTCAGCCTGGAGAGGAGAAGGGTCCATGGAGACCATAGAGCAGCCCTCCAGTACTTGAAGGGGGCTTCTGAGTAAGATGGAGACAGGCTTTTTAGCAGGGCCTGGGACAAGGGGTGATGGTTTTAAACTAAAAGAGCAGAGATTTAGACTCCTTACATCCTTACTCTTGGATGTAAGGAAGAAATTTTTTATGCTGGGGGTGGTGGAACCCTGGCACAGGTTGCCCAGAGAGGTGGTCGATGCCCCATCTCTGGGAACATCCCAGGCCAGGTTGGACGGGGCTCTGAGCAACCTGATCCGGTTGAAGATGGCCCTGCTCACTGCAGGGAGGTTGGAACTGGATGGCCTTGAAAGGTCTCTTCCAACCCAAACCATTCTATGATTCCATGGTTCTATGATGGTGTGCTCCAGCCTTCCTCTTCCAATTCTTCATGGCCAAAAAGTGTACAAAGCTGCACTTTTTGTCCAACAGCAGAAGTCACTGCAGATTAAAATTCATCGAGGCTGTTTTAGAAGCCAGATGTTATTTTGGAAAAAAAAAAAAAGTCACCTTATCTCTTAGCATCAGGTTTTTTACATCGATATTCTTAACGTTTCTCGGTTTTTCGAAGTCCGCTTGCTCGGTGCAGCCCTCTGCACCTCCCTGGGGTGGCTTTGCTGACACCGTCCCGCGCTGCAGCTGATGGGTCTCCTCGGGTGCTGGCTGCACCTCAGCAGCTCCTTTCTCCCTGCAGTCAGCAGGCGAGGTTTGGGCAGCGTGCAGGCAGATCTGTGCCGTGTGGATGGGTGTTCCTGCGTGGAAGCTCAACTACTTGTTTTAAAAGTATTCTTTGTGCACAGTTCGGTAACTCAAATGAAGTTTGAAGGGATCAGAAATCACTGCCAGGATCTGGGAGAGACAACTACAAAAAGCATCAGTGATGATCTTTGCAGTGCTTCAAATATTAAATGCAGGGGAAGGAGGACAGAGACTTTTTTTAATGAGACATTGGTAAATGATAGATGAGCCAATCTTGAAGAATTTGGATAGGTCTTGGGTTTCCAGAGCATGGAGGTAGCTAATGGTGAGCACCAATGAAGGTCTGAATCTCCTTTGAAGGGGATGGAGTACAGAATCACACAGATCACACACACACACACAGAATGGTGGGGGTTGGAAGGGACCTCTGTGGGTCACCCAGTCCAACCCCCTGCCCAAGCAGGGTCACCCAGAGCAGGCTGCACAGCACCGCGTCCAGGCGGGGCTGGAATATCTCCAGAGAAGGAGACTCCACAGCCTCCCTGGGCAGCCTGGGCCAGGGCTCCGTCACCCTCAGAGGGAAGAAGTTCTTCCTCAGGTTCAGCTGGAAAAAAAAAATTGTGCCCATTGCCCCTTGTCCTGTCGCTGGGCACCACTGGAAAGAGCCTGGCCCCATCCTCCTGACACCCACCCTGCAGATATTTGTAAGAATATATCAGTTTTGGTGACACCTGGAAGTGTCACCTTGCACCGTGCCTGGGTCAGACTGTAGGTCAGCAGTAAACATGTGCCATTTGCTGTGTAACATCCCTGATTCAGGAGCTGCAGGATTCCCCTCCGGGTGTCCTGGGGGCTCCTGACGTGTCTGTTCTGTTCCAGGTATTAAACGAAGCCGTTGGGGCGATGATGTACCACACCATCACGCTGACTCGAGAGGATCTAGAGAAGTTCAAGGCCTTGCGGGTCATCGTTCGAATAGGCAGTGGCTACGACAACATCGACATCAAAGCGGCGGGGGAGCTTGGTAGGTCTCGGCTCCGCACTCCGATTCCCTCCCATGTCCCTCCTTGTCCTTAAAGTCCAGGCACTGCGGCTTCCCATGGGAGCGCGCGGGCAGAGCCGAGCGGCAGGCAGGACCTCCCGAAGGGCGTCCTTTCAGCCCCTGAAATTACAGGTGCCGTTCACATGTTTTGCATGGAGAGAATATGATGACAAGAAAACTTGGCCTGGAAGTAACCAAAATGGGGCGGTTTTGGCAGGGGGCGTTTAGGCTGACACGGGGTTAAAACGCCCCGCCTG